TCATGCATTGGAGGGGTTTTAAGGTAAAAGACAAATTCTGAGCTTGTGGAAAAGGTCTTTTTCTTTCTTAAAGGTGTGCTTGCAATGCAAAACCTGATGGCATAAGAGCACCTTTGGCTATCACAAAAGCTTTTGAAATCATGAGAAGCATCACTGGCGCTTAAAATGCTTTCAGCAGTTTATCAATTGTCATATGATCCAAGGTGTGAGGTGGTAGTCTCAACACCACGTTCAAGGCTATTTGGCAAGACTGAGAATGGTTCTATCAGAGAAACTGGGCTTTATTAGTGAAAGTCCATCGTGGTCTATGTCAGGTCTCCTGGTTGACTTTAAACTGTATTTGACCTTAACTGAATACAAGTGCCATTTACCTAAACATAGCTGTCTCTGTGGTATCTCTGTGTATTGAGACAGCGTGTGAAAGTGTGCGGTGGTGTACTTTAGCAGAATCTAATCCAGTGTGTGGGATCAAGCAGATAAAGGCAATGCCTATCACTTCAACACTCAAGACTACTGAACTGGATTAGCGCAGATGCAGAAGATAGCTGCCAGATAGGTTATTCAGGGACTCTCTTTCTCTCACTTTGAGATTCAGCCATAAGAGCATAATCTCCTAGAAATCAACTCTTGTTTTACTATTTTGGTACAACATGTAGGTGGAAGACCTACAGTATGACTTAATTCTATCCCAATGCAAGGTGTTAGTGTGTTGTACCGGTACTCTGTGGTTTGGTAAAGGTTCTCATATGTGGGTTACATTCTGCTCTGCTAGCTGAAATCTGGTGGTAAAATAATGTGCACTCTCTGGATCTGTATTGGTCTTGGCAACGAGCTGTACACATGCTTGTCTTGTTTCAGAACACTAACCTCCCTCAAGGCTAAGTTTTGAAAATAAGATTTCCACACATATTTAAAAAGAAAACAGTTCTCAGGTAATAGTTAGCAGCTGGACCATTAAAGAAGAAAAATTCTTTAGAAATTGAGCGTCTACTGTTGAACAAACACTCGGAACAGGGCAAGCTGTGAAACAGACATCAATCTATAGACATGAACATACTGTTACATCTCATGTTACTTCACGGTTGTATTTTGAGACCAAATCAAAACCATTTTGGCATTTTGCATATATTACATTTAATATTGATTTTTTTTTTTTTTGATGAAACTGCAGGTTTTTGTTTTTTTTAATGTCCTTTCCAATTTTACTGTAGAACAGCAGCATCCACAACACACTGCAAACACACATTTGATGCACTTTTTACGCAGGATTTATTCCGCACTCAAGCAAATTGCTTCACACGGACTCTCGCAGTTGGGGATTCAGTGTCTGGCACACTGTTCAAAACCAGAGAGACCAGGAAGGGAAAGAGAGCAAGAGAAAGAGAGGGAGAGAGAGAACAGGACAGGGAAAAAAGGAGAAGGGCAATTTGAATTGGAGTTTGGTCAATCTTCAAACGTTTTTTCAGGGTGCTTACATGGTCTGATCAAAAGCACCCCACTGGCACAGGGCCTTGTAGCCACAAGGGGAGGCCTCTGATGCCTCTGCCATGGCTTCCCTGCTGGCCAACCACCCCAGCCCCACTCTCCACCCCCAACAGCTACCCATTTAATGCTGACTAGGTGCTGTGACAGAAAGCCTGTAAATAAAAGCAAAAGTTGTTTTTTTTAATCTGTTGTTTTTGCTAGGTTCTGGCAGCATGGCAAAAGATGCTGGTTACCTGCGGAGTCCAGATGTGCATATTGAAGTTTTCAAGCCAAATACACCACCACCTTTATAATTAAACTATTGCCTCATGATAGTTTTAAGGGGCTTGGATTTTTAAAACCAAGTATCGCAGCTATCTGTGTGCTTGAAGTTTTTATGATGCCTGTTTTCATCTTTTCACCGTGATCATATTTTTTTCATCATTCATGACAGCGCTGTTTTTTCTCTTTAACATAAAGTTGCCCGTGGTGGCCCTGGGGGAGAATGTAGACTGTTTTTCAACAATCTCATCCATCTTCACTTTTTCCCCTCTTACTCAACTATACTCAGTTGCAGCTCTCCAATGCTGGTGATAGAGAGAGGCTAGCTAATGGCTGTGGTGTTGAAAAGGGAACCATGTCAGGCCAGGACAGACCAAAGGAGAGCTCTCTGGGGTATCAGGGGTTGTTTCCATGGATGGGCAGTCTTAAAATAGAGGGGCAGTAATATTGTGAGGCAGTTGAGGGTATGAAACCAACTTGTTTGCAGCTTTTTCACCCGGCCTGATAAATAATGCAAGGTCGTACAGCGCAAAGATGGGATAGATTTAACTACCTGAGAGAGCAGGCTAAATGTTGAAGTAAAGCGATGCTGAGAAAAAGATGTTTTGAGCATGAGAGTCGCTTACTCAGGTGGTACATTTTGTTGACTGGTGGAATAGTAGTGTGGGAGTGTGGTAAAGAGAGGGAGTCTTTGACAGAATTATTTTTGGTCCACTAAGCACTGGTGCCTCCATTTACTTGCTCTGGGTTTTCATTTTCTCTTTTTTCTCTCATTCGCCCACCCAGAGGTGAGTCTGCTCTGGAAAGTACTTGTATTTAACTGACCCAATTCACACAAACGTTCATATTTTTTTTATACTTTCTAACAGCGTGTCTACATATGTGTTAATATAATAGTCTTTGCAAGATTTACAGTTGCTGTAGAAAAGGGAAAAAAAATCTGGATGTGAATGTGTTTGTGTTTACATAGTGGGATGGTGAGAGTGTCATTTGTCAATAATGTTTATTCGGTTTTCTTTGTGAGCTATAAGCCTAAGCCTTTGGGAAAAGCATACATAGAAGCAAAGAGTGAGAAAGAGAGTATTAGTGAATCTTCTTCCCTCGTACCCAGTCACTAATACAATGTCTCTGTAAACAGTCTCGCACTTGCATTATTATTATTTTTGTTTTTTAAAACAGGACTGGGCAACTAATCTAATTTTATTTTCAATTTTAATGTTGGCTCCAACAGCTACAATAAAAACAAGATAAGCTGAAAATTATTATTGATTAAAATCCGTGTACCTCATCCTGTTTGTGTTAATTATGCTGTGTAATATGTTAAATAAATAAATAAATAAAAATAAAAAAGTTGCACATTCTCTGTCAGTGCCGAATGTAGCGGGGGGACTAGGTGCACATTCAGCAACTGAACCTAATACGCTAATCACTAATAATCAAGTTTATTTTAAAGTGCACTAAATATGTAGGCTAAATAATCAAAATACAATTGAAAAGAAAATATAGAAAACAACAACCTACAATAGATGTATCCATTTCCTGACATATTTGACCAGTCACCCAACCTTATAAAATGATCGTGTAAAATGGTTGTAGTTTTTATATTGAACAAAAACACAAAAGCAAACACAAAAAACTATTTTTGCCTTAATAGAGCAGCTCTACTGTCTTGTTGCTGGTAGGCCTAGTATGTTTGTTCTTCTTTTAACAAAGTGTCTGGAGAGTAGAGGTTTTGTTCCTCACACACTCATAGACATCTCTGTATGTGAGTCTCTTTCTGGCCAAATGTTAATGTAAAAGCCCCTGGACAGTGGTGAGAGACTGTGTGATAGCGATCTGATTCAGATGAACTGCAGGCCTGCAGTGGGAAGATCGGGTTATCTTGTGATCCCTAGTGGCAGCCTGCTAGGACACATATCACAGCATGACAGACTGCTCCTACGGGTGCACACACAAAAATGCACTCACAACACCCACACTGACACAGTAGTGAACAGAACAGTGCTGGCCTGGCCGTGCGCCGACATGCTTTATGGATGAGCATATCTGCTGAGGTCTCCCTCCACACTGCAGTGTCAGTAACCAGATGAAGACTGGCACGGCCCCCACATCCTGCCTTTCTCCTCCTACATATGGTTTTCACATATGTCCTGTTTTCAATGTTTGGATTAGTCTGCCAAGGTCAGATGTAGGTCAGCCATGGAAGGCTTAACCACTTTGAGCTTTGTTCCTTAACTGTGGTGCCTGCTGTCGTGTACCCAACTAACCCTCAAGCTTTGAAGGCAGAGCTCCAGGGATTTTGTGTGAACTTAAATCACATTTCTCTTACTTGATCATCCAGCAGTTTGACACATGGTCTTGCTCACACATTCGTACACAACAGTTTGTGCGTGCACTCGTTTTCTCACCCCCCCCCACTTTCGCTGTAGATCTTGTTTTGACAGACATATGACCTTGACTTTCCCCTCTGTGAGCCTGACAGCTCTTTGGTGCTGTCATTGTTTGAATAGACAGATGAATATTTGGGTGGATGGAGGCATGCAAGGATGGACAGATGATAAAGCCATCAGCTTTCATGGTTGGAGGAGGGCCTAGTGACATGTGACATCACAGAAACGTCAGAAAACCCCCACTCAAGTTTAGACAACCCATGCTGCTCCTCAAGATTTGCTGTTCTGTTTATGTCTGGCCAAGGGGATCTAATGAATGACGAAGGCTAGCACTGGCCCATTTGGGTCAGATGCCTAATATAAGTCATTTAAATTCTTTTCCATTGCTTTTGCAGTAAGGTGGTCTTGGCTTCAAGTTCAAAGCTTTCCTGAGCAAATACATCATTCACTGAGGGAAAGAGAAAACCAAAACACAGCTCAAGTTTCACAAAGGTCTAATAATATCCACAAATAATTCCGCACAGTTTTTATAACCCCGTCTTACAAGGAACTTATAGAGGACTTACATTACCTCATACTATGAAAATATTATGGTTTTTTTGCACAGTTGTTGGCAATTATAAAAAAGCTTTTATGTCATATTCATATTCATTCTTTCTAGTGGAAGCGATCCTCAAGGAGAATCTCCACCTCCAACTGAAACTCCAAGTAGCTAAATAATTTCAGTGTTTTTCAAAACAAAAACAAAAAAAATGAATCATGTTTGTCATTCCTGTCAATCATTTTTATCTGGTTTTACTATTCCTGCTGTCACTGAGGTATAAATAGCAAAATCTGACCTGTTTGTGTTCTGTTTTTTGTCAGATTCGTGTTGATGGGCCTCCTCACGGTGGTGTTCAGTATGAAACGATCTCGGTTATCAAGGACGGGAGCCCTGTCCTCAGGGATATGGCCTTCTCTCTTGACCGCAACTACCTCTACGTCATGTCTGAGAGACAGGTAGGTGTTTGAAAGCTGCATGCTTGAAAATATGTGACGCAAGTGTCCATACATAAGAAGAGATGGTTTTAATGTGCCTTTGTCTCTGTATGCATATGTTCGAAATGTCAGGAATATTGTGCGAATGTGTGAGCTCCAGCAGGGCGCAAGATGGCCCACCTCTCAACATCAGCAATCCACCACCTACTGTTAGCTATAAATAACCGGGGTGGCACAGCAGGGGACATTGTGACAGCATTTGATAATGAAGGAGAACAATGAGGGCAGGGAAAACGAAATAGACAGACGAGGAAAAGATAAGGTACAATGAGAGTGGATGAAGGAGAAGAAGGGCAGAGACTGGCAGGTTGACTGGCTGCTTGAAGCATGGGAGAAAGAGTGATGATGGAAAAGGGACAGCTGGAGGAGTGTACGACTTAGGAGTAAAGGAAAAAAAATGGAGACAGAGTGCAAGGTCATCTTTTCACACTTCTAATGAAGTGACACAGCACTGCAGTCTGGGTGGGCAGCAGCTGATAACCATCAATGCAACTGACATACTAAACAGGTAGAAGAAGTGCGAGGACACAAGGGTAAAAGGGGACACAAGGGCAGAGTAGAAGGGAGGAGATGCAAAGGAGGGGAAAACATGGTGTCTTGGAAAAGAGATGACAACAGGAGGAGAAGAGGAGAGGAGCAGCTGCAGGGGAGCGTGGCAGCGTAGCAGCCCTAGAGAGAGACAACGTGCAAGGCTGTCAGTGTGAGGTGATAGATTGCCATCCTCTCCTCTTATCTCTTCTTTTAACACACCCAGCTTTAGCTTATGGGTTGAATCCATGGTGGATGGATAACGTGTAAAAGAGTAATTTTGAAATGATGTCCAATTCAGAGACGGGAAAACGGAGGCGTAAATGTAGTACTACGTTATTTTTTTATCCTTCAGCACATGACTTACACTTTCTTTTTTTTAATATATATATATAAAAACAAACACTTGAAAAGTTGCACAGTTCTAGCTGCCTACCTGATGTGAGAATAACAATAAAGCCAAAGTCAGATCACTTCACCAGTAACAGCTCAGTACTTTGAGCAAAAAATATTCCAAGATTATAATTCTAGTTTATCTTTTTTTGCTAAAGCTTGCTAAAGTCATCGCCACAAATATTCAGACATTTACTCAGTTTTCACAATTTTGCCTCTGCACACTACCATTCTGGATTTTAAAAGCAATCAAGATGCGACTGGAGTGCCGGCTTTAAGCTTTAATTTAAGGAGTTTAACAAGTACTGCAATAACTATTTAGGAATTACAACAATACATAGTCCCTCAATTTAAGAGCCCCAAATTTAATTAGACAGCTAACATTATTTTAAATAGAAATTTTGAATGAAAATCTTTTGCAATCAGCGGCTGCCTAAATTCTAGAAGCCATGCAGATCATCAAATGTTGTGCTGTTATGCCTTCACTGAAGAATATCCAGTTTATTTCCCTTGATAAACTCTTGGGGAGCTTTTGCAATATGCTTTGGCTCATCATCCATTTGCACTGTCTGCGGTATTAAGCTGAATATGAGCTCAGAATATAGCCCTGTACACTTAAAGATTTATCCTGCTACTTCTATCAGCAGTCACATCATCAGTAAACACTAGTCTCCTGGTTCCACTGGCAGCCGTACATGCCCATGCCATAACACTGCCTCCACTATGTTTGACAGACTACGTTATGGATCGTGAGCTGTTCTTTAATTTTAACCTTTTTTAAATACTCTCCTACCATCATCCTGGTACAAGTTTGTCTTTATTTCATGTATTTAAAGGGGAAACTTTAGTCATTTTACATGCTTTTTTTAGTGTTGCTCTGCCTTCTTTCTTTTTCAGAATGTACCAGTGTGTTGATTTGGCCCTTCCTAAAGTTTGTGCTATTTCTTTAGGGTTTCTTTTGGTTTTTCATACTAATGGTGATGTTGTACAGTTGAATTGACAGCTTATGCTGAGATTTCTTGTGAAGAGCTACCAAATGCAAGTTCAGTGTTTAGGACTCCAGGTCTTTTATCTGGTTAATTTCTCATGATATATTAAGGGAAACGGCCAATCATGTCCAATTATATGCAGGGCTCTGAAAATTAGGACCATATATAAAAATTTTGATAATTACTAGGTTAATGCAGTCCTCATGTTAAACCCCTTGAATTAAAGCTTCAAGTCTTCAGTTCAGTCCAATATTGGCAGTTTGATTTAAAGTCCAGAGTGAAAATTACAATTATTGTCAAAATAATTATGGATCTAAATGTACATTGAAGGCCAAATTATACTATTTAAGTTCAGTTCAATTCAGTTTTATTTATATAGCTCTACATCACAGCAGCAGTCGCCTCAAAAGCGCTTTATATTCTTAGGTAAAGACCCCACAATAATACAGTTTATCAAGCCTCTTTATAAGTATTTATATAGTATATTAATCAAAAGATATAACTGTACATCTCTATGTTTGGAGGAGGTTTGCATAGATATGTATATCTAAACAAAACATGTATATTGATATTAAATGAAATATAAAAATTTCATGCATAAACATAAGATGCAGGTATCGGACAATGAACTGATGACTCTGAAGCAATGGACTGAGCAAGTGAAGAAGAGTTTGCACTGATTCTAAAGTCTCTTTCCCATATTTACTAAATCCTTTATTCTCACTTATCCTGCAGATGAAAGAAGCTTTTGATGTTGAGCTCAT